TTTAGAGAAGATAAAACCACACTAGTCTAGAAGGTGGCTTTTGCACATGGTGGGGGCCACCACATAGAAACAATGCTTCCAGACCCCCTCCCTCGCCTTCTACACGTGGGGAGCCTTTAACATCCTCACCTGGACTACCATCCAGGTGAGGTAGTTGTAGGTGGCCCTGAAGGTATCTGGGGGCTAAAGATTAAGACAACATTTGAGGGGTACCTGGACATCTATCAGAATCCACCACATCTCCACCTAGTTGTAACAGCTCTCACCCGCCACCATACAGGCATGTTGCACCAGTTCTGGAGTGGTCTTCAAAGGCAGCCCCACGAAGAGGGCTTTGCAGTAGTCTAGTCTGCTGATGAAGGCGTCAGTCCCCATCCCCAGGGCTCCCCACTCCCAGAGCTGGGCCACGGCTCCCCTGGTCACAGCGCCCACCTGCGAAATCAGCAATAGAGGTGGCGCCAGGAGGACTCCCAAGCCACGGACCTTCTCCTTCAGTGGACGTGGCACCAGGTTCAGAGCTGAAATTGGGGCAGAGAGCTGGATGGTTCCTGGACAAGCAGCATCTCCACCTTTCTTGGGTGCAGCTGGTCAGACTGGACCTTGCAGGCTGGACTGACGCAGTTAATCCAAGGAGCTCTGATCAATGGGATTTATCAGAAGAAAGGCAGTGGTTGTAATACAGGGCATCCATCTCGTGCCCTGCTTTCAGATGAGACGCCCATATATGCACAATGAAGATGGCAAAATGGTTGCCACTTTCTCCTGCTCTTTCTAGGTAGGGGGCCGGATGGGCCTCTTTTTCATGAGGGATGAATTGTTTCCATCCGCTTGTTGGTTCTGGAACTGCTGGTCCTTTCTCTGGTGTAAAAAAACGTTGTTGGGAAATTTCAACCCATTTGGACTTCCTTCGGCCCCCACCACCTCCAGATGCCTGAAGACCTCCACAATGTCTGGTTTGGCTTGGGGTGGAGATCTCCAAAACAGGGACCTGTTTTTTAGTGACTTTAATTTGGGATTTGGTTGTGAAACACTTTTAAAAATGAAAGGGTGACAGATTAATTGGGTGCATAAAATTATATACAGGTAGTCCTCCACTTGCAACCTCAATAGGGACCAGAAAATTTGTCGTTAAGTGATGCGGTTGTTAAGCGAGGCATCATGTGAGTGCGCCCGATTTTACATCCATTTTTATGATGGTTGTTAAGCGAATCATGCAGTTCCCTATTGACTTTGCTTGTCGGAAGCTGGTTGGGAAGGTCGCAAATGGCAATCATGTGACACCAGGACACTGCAACCGTCGTAAATACATGCCAGTTGCCAAGTGCCCGAATTTTGATCATGTGACTGCAGGGATGTTGTGATGGTCATAAATGTGAGGACTGGTCATAAGCCACTTTTTTCAGTGCCATAGTAACTTTGAATAGTCGCTAAATGAAAGGTCATAAGTCGAGGACTACCTGAATTTCCCCCAACTGTCACTGAATTTGAAATATTTGCTCAGCATGAATTGAGCATGAAGCTTTATTAGGAAACCATTTTCATTGAAATACACAATTTTAATTGTGTGAGCCACCCAGAGTAACATAGGTTAGATGGATCACTATATAAATTCAACAAATAAATAAAATTAAAGTCATACTCCTGTATTCTTACAATTCACTGGCTTTGTGAGGTTTAGGAACTTACTCAATTACGGTTTATTCAGTAAACTATGATGAAGCACAGTGAGGCTTGGCAAATGGCCTGGATGCGGTCCTATTCCCACTTACCTCGATCTCTTTATGTTTTCCATTCAGAAGGTCCCTGGCCTCTCCAGATAGAAGGACGGGGTGGGAGACCACAGTTTTCCATTTCCTGAGAGCTCAAGGCCATCTGAAGAGAAAATCTTGGGCTAACGATGCTCGCTCTTCACCATTTTTCGTGTGTCTTCCATTGTTTGAAACAGGGCCGGTGACCATCTGCGGTGAAGTGACCATCTTGCATGGTGGATTTCTGCTGGCATCCAGGCTTTGTCATCCCAAGCCGTTATCAGAACTAGCCAAGTCTGACTGGCCTGTGGTGGGGAAACCAATCCTGGAAGCCCTACAGGAGATCTGTACATCCTATTCTTCTTATCCACCCCAGCCCAACGCCTGGAAGAAGAAGGCAGCAGTTGTCCTCTGGTCCAAAATCCTCCTTGCGGGTGTCTCGTCCGATGAAAGATGGAAGAACGATGCTTTCTTCTCGGTGAGCAACATGATCCCTGAGATCAACCATACTGTCCTCTTTGAGCTGTTCAAGGCAGTGAATGCACCCCGGTTTTTTACCCAGCTTCTTTTGGTGCTGCCGGATCACGTTTGCCAAAAGGAGCTTCAGCTGTTTGTAGAGTACGTTGCTAAGGAAACATCTCTGGCTGACGCATCTTTCTTCTTAGAAGTTTGGTGGGAGATTATGAAACACAAGGAAGGTGAAGAAGATCGGCTGACTTTGCTGTTCCAAAGCATATCCCACCAGCACTTTTTGGAGTCAGATGAAATGGGCCAACCTCCAAAGAGGTTCAAGAGCAACCCCTCTTCCATGCCAGAGGCCTCCGCTGTCCCCATCGTCCTCCCAATCTTGACAGAAGGGCTGAAACTGATCAAGGACAGCCTTGGCTCGGGCAGGATGAAGTGTTATGCACTTGCCAACTTAGTGGATGTGCTGTCTGCCTTGGTGGCAACGGATTGCAAAGTAAAGGCGTTGTCTCCCCAGGCTTACTTAGAAAAGATCTCCTCAGTGGTGACCCTCTGGAGCAGTGACTGTGAAAACCGATATAACAAGAAGGACTTGGACATGAAAGTGAAAGAGGCTGAGAGGAGCATGAGTTTGTTGGACATGGTCAAGTTGTCCAATAAATTTATGCTCTGCAATTTAAGCTTTCTCCATTCCTTGTTGAAGGAGTGGTCTTCAGAGCTGCAGGTCTTCTTGAATGACCCTCAGCAGGTCTGCTACGAAAGCTACCGGCTCCTCATCTGCTTGGCAGCCTTGCAGAAGAAGTTGGCCGACTATGCCATTGTAGAGGACCATGACCAGGAAACAGCACAGGTGATGTTGGATTTGGGCAAAGCCATGGCAGACTTCCTGAAGAAGATCAGCCCTGAGTCTTGGGGCAAGAGCACTGGCAGTGATCTGGTGGCTTCAGTAGCCATGGTGATCATTGACAAAAAGATGGACCGACACAAAGAAATGTGTTCTGTTTTTGCTAAGGAGAAGAGCTGGGCATTGAGCCAGGATTGGATTGCTTGCCTTATTAAGAATAAGGAACTCTTCCAGGATCCAGAGCTAATCTTGAAGTTGCTGGAGACGGTAGCATCTTTACAATCCTCTGATGATTCTGCCAGAAACCAGGAGCGACAAACCAAGGTGGCCAAGATCATCCTTGAATGTTACACGGAACTCTCCTTGCCAGACAAGAACAAAGTAATTGCTGGTGTTTTGGCGACTTGGGGCAGACAAGGCCTTTCTAAGCTGATGGCAGCATTCTCAGAAGGATTCCAGGAGGAACTCAACGTTGCCTTTAACCAGATCATCCAGAGTGCCTCTGGGGAAGGTTTTAAGAAGGCCATACTTTCAGTGTCTCGGCTGGTGCTGCTTAACCCAGAAGGTACCATCAAGAAGATAAGTAGTTTAGCTATAGCCAACTTGGGAACACATCAGTTCTTGGCTGAGATCCTATGTTCTTTCCCAGCCCTGAACTTCCAAGAGTCTCAGGATCAACCAGACGTATCTGTCAACCTACTCCTAGAATGTTTGAAAGAGACTGTTTGGGACCGTCTCTCCTCCCCCAAGGAAAAGGAGCAATTCTTAGAGTTCCTAGTTCATCTCATGCAACCAAGTGGAACCAGCCCCCTCCTCTCCCCTGCAGAGGTGATCCAGAGCCTGGTCTTTCCTTTCCTGAACTCCGACTCTCCCCGTATTGAGTTGTGCTTGCAAATTCTTGACAAGGCTTTGAAAGTACCATCTGAACAGAGTTGGATTCATATCTGCCACCCGTTTCCACTCATCCTTTCTCTCTGCAAACTCCTTGATGGGTTCTCACAATATTGGCACCAACCACAAGACCAACATAGATATTCCCTAGAGACCAAAGATTTGGTGACCACCAACTTAACGCAGCTTTGTGATGTTCTTCTGGTGCAGAAGGAATCCCTGTCTCCACAGTTGTGGACCCAATCTGTGGCATGGTTGCA